ATGGAGACATTTCATGCTGCTTACCGTGTCAGAGGCAGAACGGCATGCGCTGCATGTTCCAATTCCCCATAGAAATCACGTTGATAGATATGACCATTATAATTAGTCAGTGTTAGACCGTTGTCTAACGCTGCTTCCTTTGTGACGTTTTTTCGAGGGAAGGTGATGGCCCCCGTTAGGGTTGGCACGAAGCGGGACAGGTACTGTAGATGCATGTTAATTGCTTATGTGGGTGGTTGCTAACAACGTGGTGAACAGAGATGAACGTCGACAACAGCTACGGCAGCGTTTTGATGAAACTGAACGCGTTAACGCTACACCAGCTGAGGAAGAATCACCGGCGGCTAAGCGACGCCGTAATAACCGAAGGCATGATGCACATAATCGATTTAAGGCACGGACTCGAGAACTCGACCTATTAAGCACCAGGTGAAAAACGTTTCGGTTGCCGATGGTTCCACCGTAACTTCTAAAGTACCGACAGTACCTGTGACAACTGCTGTTGGGTTGGCGGTAGCTCCAACTATAAACACCTCCAGTGCTGCGGCAGTGAGAATGAGTGATGCAGGGAGAGCCCGGGCTCAACGAGCTAACATGAGCTCTTCCCAACGCGAACGCGTGCGACAGAGGAATTCAGAGAGACAGCGGTTACGTAGGGCCCAAAGAAGGGCTGAAGAAGTGGAAGCTGGTCGGGAAAGAAATCGCCTATCGCATCAGGCCCAGAGATTGCTGCGCACCCAAGTTGCACAAGAGCATGAGCGTGAACAGCAGGTCGCTAGACGATCTCAACAAACAGAGGCGGATCGTGCGGCTTTAAGAGAAAGCGACACTGAAGCCCGAGCTCTTCGTCGCTCACAACAGTCCGAGGACGAACGTAAGGAGGAGCGTGAAGCGAATGCTGTGGTTCAGGCTACGCGACGCTCCCAGCAGACTGACGACGAGCGTCACGTAGAGCGTAACGCCGACTGAGAGCGGCAAGCGGTTAGAAGTGCGCTGCAAACGGAGGAAGAACGCGAAGAGGAGCGCGAGCGTGTTCGTGAACGTCGCCGTACCACCCGCCACCGCGACGCTCTTGCGAACCACGAAGCTTTCCGCCCGTCAATGGTCACAGGACCAGATGTTGATGAAGAGAGCAGACGCCACCGACTTCCTCCCACTAGGGTGTGTGCCCACTGCCACGCGTGGAAGTGGCCTGGTGAAA